AATATGATTTGGAAAAGGTTGAATTTGAAGTGCAACAAGTGAATTTAACTCGCAAAAGGTTGACCCTGGTTCGCAACAAGTGAGTCGGATTCGTAAAAGGTTGAATTTGGAATGCAACAAGTGAATATGATTCTCAATAGATCGACTCTAGTTTGTAACAAATGAATTCGTCTCAAAAAAGATCAACTCTAATTTGCAACCAGCGAATATGATTGGTAAAAGGTTGCATTCGTAGTGCTAAACTTGCATTCGAAAGCCGCTTAGAGAACGAGTGGTGATGCAGTGAGAGGGTGTGTAAAGCGAACCATAAATTTGCCACGATAACCGTCAGGAAAGGGTAGGGTATGAGTGGCGGGCGGTTCGACGGACGACGGGCAGCTCAAATTTACAGAGGCGACGCGAGCCAAGAAGACACTATCCTCGGCCCCCGCTGCTTCGACAATCACGATTTTTATTTTGGACTGGCGCAGAAGGGCGGTATTTTCGTCGGACTTGGATTACCTTCCGAGAATAACCGGCGCGCGCGGCACGCGTATAAGCGGCTTCTTTGAATTTTGTAATTAATGACCGGCGTGTATCAACGCGTCTAGCAATCGATAACATCGCTTTTATGTGTCACGGTTCGACGAGGACTCCGTGAAAATTAGGGGCCATGCCCCGAGAAAGAGACAGTGTGTCATTCGAAGTGCAATTCTTGTTTGATCTTCGTTAAACGATGACAAATCAATCAGTCCAACCCGCAGATTTATGCATTCGCTGAGAAAGTGAATTCGAAATTAAGAGGAACAACGCAAAATTCAAGTTGAGTCGTGAGTAATTGTTATCGTGTAATTTTATTTCTTGAAACGATATAAAAGTATTTATAATAAATATGTGTATATACCATTTCACACAAATATTACCACATTGCAATCGAAGTTTTTTCTTGCTGACATTACCAGCAACTGGGAGTAATTTTAATATAAAAAGTATATTAACATATAAATAAATGATGAAACATTTTTACAGTTTGAATTGGCAAATTTAAATGGCAAAATTTTACAGTTTGAATTGGCAAATTTAAATGGCAAACGGTTAATCTGTGGGAGTATTAACAGTGTTTTGAAGAAAATTAAAAGAATCAATATGAAAATGTATAAATTTCTAGTTCAATGAATTAGGGAAAGTTTTTGCATTTTTAAATGAGTATATATTAAGTATACCACACTATAAAACTGCCAAAATATGTGAAATATATATCTATGTAAAAGTTTATCAATTGTTATATTAATTTAGATTTTTTAGATTGTTATATAAAATTAGAGACATAACATTTGTAATATAAAATGTTTTAAATAATTGAGAATAAATAACTGATAATTAGTGAGAATCATACATTTAAATAAGGTTTAAATTAGAAATTTCAAATCAAGCTTAACATCGATTAAAGCTTCTTCCAAAATGTGCCAATATCGTTATACACTGAAATAGTACTTTCAGTATTTCTGGAGTCAATTTAAAACCATTGGAACTCCATTTAAAACCCTTTAAATCCCATGATAATAATACCACCACCGCATTACGGAGTAACTTTAATGCGGGCTCGAATAATAAATCAGCGTTTTCCTGCAACGTTGTGCAACACCACTTCCTGATTTATATTTGCCATCTGTCTTCGACGTTAAATGGAATAGCGTTGGTTGGTTAACCACGTGTACCGTATATCCTTACGTAATTGTTCGACAATTGTATATGGTTTATAAGTACTCGCGAGACCACTAATTGTATCATATTCACATTTTTTTAGGTAGATTAATCTTCCACCCGCAAAATAGAGATTGGATTTCCTAAACTGTCAATAATATCAACTGTACAGCAAATTAAACTGTAACATATACTACAATAAAATATACTGAATCATTCCATAAATACTGCAGTTTTTTTATGTTTCTTTTATGTTTAAAAATAAAGAAAAGCAGAATTTTTTAAAAAATAATTATAATTTATAGATAGATAAT